GCTCCGGTAATGAAAGAACGGGCGCCATTGTTGTCACGGTGGAGTGTTGTATGACCTCTCCAGAAATAGAGTGCTGCACGGAGGAAGTGTCCGGCGCCATACTTTCAAAGGATGCGGCAGAGACGGAGGACGTGCGCACCATTGCAGACGTAGTAGAAGTATCCATGCGGCTAAAATGCCTGGCTAGTCTGATACCATATACAAATCTGTAATTATATGAATTAGATGTGCCGCCCTTGGGAGAGCCGAGACCTTATATATAAATGATAGGTAATAATAGTAGTTTACAATAATTACAAATATGCCCTAGAGATATAGATTATTAAAAGCAAGAGAGCCCCACACTCCAGTTTAACACTAGTGCTCTTAGATCGGCCAAACTCTGCCAAATCAATGCTCTGCTTTAGTGCTACCTCTCCAACCAAACCCTCTCACCTCTCTGTATCTTCTCATCTATGGGGCAAGTTGTGAAAATGAATGCGGATCTCCAGAAGAAGAAGAGTAAGAATGAGATAGACAGAAGCTCTGAAAAGAGAAGCCCGTTGCTAGATTGTAATAAAAACCCCAAGTTATCTTCCAAAAACACCAACCTTCCTTCTTCCTTTTCTTCTTATTCTTTCGTTGAGGCCTCGAAATCTTCTCCCCGTTTTCTTCTCTCTTCCAGCAACTCTTCTTCCGCCGCCTCTTCACAGAAATGGCCCGCATCCTTTCTCAGAGCAAAGAGTGCAAATCCGAAGTCGGGTTGTTCTAAAGAGAACATTTTCCCAAGACCCACTTCACAAAAGCCCAAAAAGAGCGCTCCTTCCACAAGCCAACGGCAGTCCGGGAGGAAAACCATATCCAGAGCTTCCAAAAAACCCATGCTTCCCGCCGATCTGGTCAGTTCTGGGAAGAACTCAAGATCTGGGTCTAGAAAGATTGCTGCGAAAAATGAGGATTCGAAGACGTCTTGGGAAATCGAAAATGGTTCAGGTAAGCATCCAAACCATCTTACACCTGTTGGGAAACTATTCTCTGGGTCGGGTTTAGATTGTGCTAACTCCGGTGGAGATCTGGTGCACGAATCAAGTAAAAATGCCGTTAAGACTCCACCTATTGAACCCTCAGTGTCCCCTGAGATTCCATGTGGGTTGTCTTCTGCTAAGGCGGATTCAGCCACTACCCCTTGCTATGGCGCCGGCCATGTTCTTTCAGGGGTAGCAGATAAACGAAAATGCAGGCCAAGAGGGGTTCTGACTGTAGGTCCTGCCCTAGATTTACTCTCATCCAAGTCTGGTAAATCTAATGAGAATAACAAAAAGTCAAGAACCTCTTTTGCTCCTTTACCTGTTGAGGCCTCAATGTGCTGGATGTCATCTCCCTCCGGTGAAGGAGACGGAGACGTTATCGGTAGTAAGACTAAGAGCGGTTCAGAGATTACCCAATTTTGTGGGTTAATGGGCTGTCTCACTCTTGGTGGGCAGTTCTCATTGATTTCTTCTCCCCAGACCGTGCCAAGTTGTAAAGATGCTCACTTGCATCTTTCAAGGAAATGTTCTTGCAGCTTTTCAATGGACAACTCTCCAAATTCAACAAGCACTTTAAGTTGTGGTAATGTCATTCAGACCCCTAACTCGGATTCGAGTTCGGGCAGACATTTCGGGTCATCTCTATTTAATATGGGTGAAGAACATAACCTTGGAAGATTTGAATATGAAGCTTTTGGCAAATCAAGCTTTTCTCCTCAGGATCAGATAGAAATTAGTAACTCTACCACGACTTTCAGTTTCGTAAGCAACACCCCCACACATAAAAAACTAGAAGACACGTCTGCATCGTGGCATTCAGATTCGTCAAGTGGAAGTGAATCTGAGTCTACCATGAGAGTATCATGGAAGGATGTATTGGATGGGTTGGATAGCTGCAGGTGTCCGTCAGATGAAGAAAACAACAATGTGGTTTGCCCGAATGATCAGGCAAAGCTAAATCAGAGTTTTGAAGGCAGTGACTATGAATATAATGATCATGTGATGAAAAAGGTGCTTAAATATCCCAAATTTCTTGAGCAGGAACCTTTTTTCGTTTATAAGAACGGGAAAGAAAATGTATTACCACAAAGAAGACCCGGTTCATCTTGTGCAGAGTCCATTATCACTGATGGCGGGGGATTAGTTTCTTCAACAGATTCAGATTGGAATCTCTGCTGCAATGATCAGATCTTTCGGCCGTAGTTGCTACTAGTATCACACGATTCATACCTTGTACTATTAGAGGATTATTAGAATTGGAAAGGAATCTGGTGTGCCTTATGGAGCAACTTCTATTAGGATGGATTTAATTTTATTCCCTCACTCCCACAGTTAACTTAAATTCTAAGTACTTAGTATTATTTCCAAACTTTTGGGCAATTTTATCGTGCAGCAGGCATGAATTTTGCCCTTTAAGTCTAAGTATTCTATTAAAATGCTTTTGGGTCACATTATTCTATTCACGATTTGACAATTATGGTTTAACTTTGCTTCATGCTTTGTATGGAGAATCTGTTAGGTGCCATTGTTGGTGTCCACTTTTTTGTATACTTTTCGAACACCTAATCTATGTACAGATACAACTTTAAAAAATTGCATTTTTTAGACGGATTGCATGCGTACAAACAAAACAGAGGATAATGTTGAAAAGGTGTACAAACTGAAATTTCCATATGCTAGTTCACATTCTTTGGTGGGAACTTGTAAGCTTGATTTTCAATTCTGACACCCTGGCATTTTTCTTCTCTTACCTTGTACTAGATGAGGTTTGGGATTCTTTTTTCTTTTGAGGGGTAGTGGGAGGTTTTGAGGGTATTGGCAAATGGTTAGTACTCTCTAGGTAGCCCTCCAAGCATAGTCTTTGTGCTCTTTCTTTAGACTACCTGAATTTCCTGGCTCCACAACTTTTGGTTTGTGCTTTGTTATTATCTTTAGGAGTCAGTTTTCATTGGTTATTTTGAACTTCAATTATAGAACATTTTTTTAAATCAGCAATGTGGTGTGACATTTGTCTTTGTTACTTTTCATTAGTACTTTGGTACAATGATATTTGGACGTGGTTCAATAGGTTTATGGTTGACCACCTTTGGAGATCAGGAGCTGGCCGGTCCAGAACTGGCCTGGTTCTACCCATAGACACATATTACTGGACTCGGGCCGGGCGGCCCGGCCCGGAACCGGCCCGGCCCGGTTACTATTTGGCCCGGCCCGGCCCGGGGCCCGGTGGGTCCCTCGGTTCGGTTCGGCCCGGCCCGGCTGCTGGGCGGTTCGGGCCCGGGCCCAGGTTTTGGTGAACCGGCCCGGCCGGTTCGGGCCCGGTCCGGGCCGGATTTTAATTTTTTTTTTTTTTTTTGAAATTTTTTTAAGTTTTAGGTTGGATTAGGTATTTTGGGCCATTTGAGGTGGTTTGGGATGGTTTGGGGTTGAGGGGGAGGGGTAGGGGATTAAATAGAAGAACAAAAAAAAAAAATATTATTGGGCCGGTTCGGCCCGGCCCGGTTTGGCCCGGAACCGGGACCGGAACCGGCCACCGGCGGTTCGGGATCGGGCCTCCCTTTCCTGGCCCGAGGCCCGGCCGGGCCCAGGCCCGAACCGGGCCCGAACCGGCCCGAGTCCAGGACTATAGACACATAATAATGTCACACAAAAACAGAATAAAATAAAAACAGGTTTAGTTAATTTTTGTTCTTTTGAGAATTCATTTGACACACAAATAGTAAGTTCTAATACAGAACAAAAAAAAAGGTTTGCCAAAGAATGAAGGGCCTTTGGTTTGTTTCTTTAAAAAGGAAGGTAAGAGTTCAATTCATATGTATTTGGTGTAAGGATTTATTGAAGTGTTTGGCATGCAATGCCTTCATGTTAATTAATAATAATAATAATAATAATAATAATAATAAATGATAAATGCCATACAAACATATTCGTTCACGGTACACCATGATCTTGCCATCTTGAGTTAAAAATGAAGTTGGCAAGAGAAGCAAGCCACATATGCATTTGCATCAACTATGCCGCATATGTAGTGATTGTGATACATAAACTAACATCTTGATGTTAATAATGATCTCTATGATATTATTGTAGCGGGAACGTTAATTCCTAAAATTTATGAAGTTCTGGCTTAAGTGGTTGTATTGACTGATTTTACTGACTTATGAAAAAACTAAATTTAAAATATATTTTATTAATAAATCAAAGAAAAATAATATGTAAAAATAGTTAAAATAGTCTTCTACAATAACTTCAACCGAAACCGTAAAAAAAGTAACTGCAACCTTGCTTTTTCTTATGCGCAAAATGAAAAATTACGTGTTTGGGGAAAAACTCGACTGATAAGTCTAATAAGCCGAATTACAGTGTTACCAAACGGGCTCTACTATTCGAATCTACACGGAAAAATCATTTTTGTTACGTAATACTACGTAATATTTATGAACCAAAACCTGAGTTTTTCGGAAAGACCGAGTTTCTATCATTTTAACTCTTCTTGCATAAAGAGTTAATATTTATACCAATCTCGGTCATACTTATAGATTTATTTGCATGAAAATATTTGATCGTATCAACTCTTCTCACATTATATGCTTTTGAACTAATTACAAGATGCATTTAATATTAAACAGTAATTAAGAATAAAGTCATTTTAATGTGTGGGCAATTTTCTAAAACATCAATTAATTTGAAACTGATGGTGGTAATTTTCAAAAGGAAATATTATCATTAATGCATCATGGATTTACAGAAAATGTCAATTCTAGCAAAAAATAAAAAATTGACAAAGCTTTAGCATAACTCTTTTAATATCTTTGGAACAAGTCCTTAATACGTGGGTGGAAAATGATAGTTGGACATAATCTTTCTTGTATCATAGCTCCAAGTCAACAACAAGACTTGGTGTTTTCCAGACGACAAGTCATAAGGTAAACACAAGAAAGAAAATAACACAACTACTTAAGAAGAGACTCCCCACCAAACCAATAACATTTCAACCTATTCCTTCCCCACTTCTCATTTCCCCTCATTTATTATAAGGCATCCAAGATATATATAATGGAAGGTCTGATTCCACTGGTCTACAAGAGCATCAAGAGAAACAGAACTCTCAGGAAGTATGAGTTTCTTTCCTCAGAGACTGTTGAGGCTGGCTGCACCTTGACTAGCAACCTTTGTTACATGGCACCACCACCCGAGGCTGAGAAAACGGCTGTCGAGGCTAAGGTCCACCGGAGGCACAAATCATGCCAAGTGGAATATTACCCTGCAAGTCGTGTTTCACCCGACCGCACCTCGACTAAGCCTGGAAAGCTTGTCAGGTTTGGAAGCCAGAAGATGTTTTCATGTTTGAATTAAGTAGTGCACAATATAAGTGCATAGTAGAAGCCTAGAAGGTAAGAACTGTTGTCATTATATTGTTGGTGTTGGTTTGCTTATATGTATAGTAAGTTTGGGCTTCACTTAATCTTGCCTTATGATTACTGGCTATCAGTCTGGCAGTAAGTGTTGAAGCTCTCATCATGTAATCTGTAAAAAAGGATATTATATAAAGGGACAAAAGCATGTCTCTTGAAAACTTTAAACAAAAATGAGATTTTTTTTCCCCAGTCTCATTTTTTCTTCTGAATAACAAAAATGAGATTGTTATTCAGAAGATTGTCAAGAATTGGATTGCTCCATCATCAAACTTTTTCAACCTCCTCATTTTGAAGTTTTTCTCTTTAATGACAAATATAACTTCAAAAGATTATTCTTACCAAACAAATCCAGATTCAAACGAGACTGCTCTATCATCAAACTTTTTCACCCTCCTCATTTTGAAGTTTTTCTCTCTTTTTGACAAATATAATTTCAAAAGATAAATCTTACCTAACAAATCCTGTGAAGGAATATTTCTTTTTTCAGCATATTTCATCATGGAGTAAATTGAAAGGGGTGGTGAATATGCATGATAATATTGAAGCTGAAATGATCAACAGCTAGACAGGCTAGGCATACCTAACAAACATATGGCTGCAAGCTCAAATCCTACAGAAAAGACAGGCTAGGCATCTGAGAAAAAGAATTTCACAGAATAGTTTGTTTGGACCGTCTAGGAGGGAAGAAATCCCATAAATAAATAAAATCCGTGTTGCACCAAAAAATCCCATCAAAAGGGAAAAAAGCTGAAAGATTTTTTTTAATGTTTTATTAATTAGGGAGACAGGTTCCCCAATTCACTTAAATATGGAAAATTGGAAATGGCCTTAAAGACCGAACTTTATATAAAAAGTAATTTTTGCACCATGATTGTATGTCTTTTTACAGATACAGATTTGTTGGAATAATTACATAATTTAAAATACTCGAAGCCATGTTAGAATGCAGTTAACATTCTAAAATTTTATTTGAGAAATAAATAATACTACGTATTACATTCGGTACAATTTAATTTAAACTTCATCCTCATAAACGTTTTGTGTATTTTAAATTATTTACTTAACAGTTAACACCATAAAATTACATTTACAAAAATATATATAATCATGGTGCTAACATAACTTTTTATATAAAGTTTGAGGTATATATATTATATGTGCAAGTTTGGGGTACTTATCTCGCACCCCTTCAAACTATTTAAAATATTTTCCCCTTTTTGAAAAAAGTCTATTTTGTTGTAGTGTGAGAAGCTTTTGTGCTTCTTAAATTAGTTCTGATTTTTAAAATTAGGAGCCCGTTTGGTGACTTCTTTTTCGGCTTATCAGGCTTATCACCCAACTTTTTCACCAAACATGTAACTTTTGATTTCGCACGCTGGATTCTGTAATAAGCAGAAAAAGTAAGGTTGAAGTTACTTTTCTGTCTCTATTGGCTGAAACTACTATAGAGGATCATTTTAGCTATTTTTTCATATAATTTTTTATTTTATTTATTAATAACAAATATTTTAAATATAATTTTTTCATGAATCAGCAGAATCAACCAATATAACCACTTCAGCCAGAACTTCATAAATTTCAGCAGAATCAGCCAATTCAGCCAATTTTAGTGCTACCAAACGGGCTCTAGATCATATTAAATCAAATTGGTCTATATTGATCATGCTCGATCAAACTTAAACAATAATAAAATATAATTATAAAATAAATATTTATCACGTCAAATCGAATTAGATTAAACTTAAACAGACGCATCAAAATAGACAGAAAAAATATCATGTAAATATGGGTGAACATGGATTTTTTTCGACCCGACAATTCGCTTCTGAAACTAGAATGGATCAATTCCGAACATATTTTGAGGAACAAAAACTATAAATGTGGGCATCCAGAAATGCTCAGGTCCCTCCCTTCCCTGTCCAGCCGCCGGCCGAACTCCGCCGTTTGGGGCGATTCCCGGTCGAATTTGTTTATGCTTTTTTTTAATATGTTCCTTATCAAGTCTAGTTTGTCCATACCAAATGTCAGCTCAAAATTCGACGGGAAAAGCATTCAAATCATTTTTTGAAGTTGACTGCGTTTTTATATGTATATTTTGGCGCAATCAACTTCAAAAAATGATTTGAATGTCTTTCCGATCAAATTTTGAGCTGAAATTTGGTATGAACAAACTAGACTTGATGAGTAACATGCTCAAAAAATTGCATCAAAAAATTCCACAGAGAACCGTCCCAAACTGCGGAGTTCGGACGGTGGCTTCCGTCCCTCCGGCTGGACCTGAGCAGTCCTTAGGGCATCAATTCAATCTCTTGCCCATTTAATTTCAGTCATCTAAGATAACTATGTCGCCGATTTATGGACCCTCAAGGATGATATTTTTTAAAGTGTCATGATTTAGAGTGTGTTTCCTACTTCTTGTATTGAACTTATCAATCTTATAAGCAATTTTTGTTTTCATTTTATCTCGCGTGGCGAAGTGTGCAATGATCAAAATAAATAAGAACGTGATTACTTTTCTGGCGGGATTTAGTGAAGATGACTTCTTTACCTACTTTTCATACATTTTTTTTTGTTTCAATAATAAAATATTTCATCAGATCTGTATAACTTTGCCAGATTTGACTGGCACAAGGAACAATAGAGCACAAATTTGTCTAATTAGGATTTGTGCAGAATAGATAAAAACAATATGGAGTATGACTTGTATATTAATTGATTAAAAAGAAAATGCCAAAAATGTTTGGACAATAAAAAGAAAAGATGACTTAGTTATAAGAAATAATGACAGCAATAATACTAATGGTTTTCTAATTGACAAAAATAAGACTTGTGTTAACTTTAGACGAAAAAGAGACTAATATTAATCAATGGCCTAAATTACCCTCACTTCTCTTTTTCCTCTCTTCCGTATCTGATCTCCTGCACTTTTCCAATAGGCTAAATTAATCCTGGCTTTCTAAACCCTTTTTCTCTCACTCACGCAGCTCCTTCACCAAAGCCGCCTCCCACGGCAGATCTCCATCGCAGCAGAGAGCCTCCGCCAACGCGTCTATGCCAGTGCACCTCCATCTCCAATCCTGCAGTCCCGCTCCATGCTCTCTCTCTGTCGCGCGAAGTTCTTCCTCCTCCCATCGTTGATCCCAGCCGCGGACGACCACGCCGATTTCTTTTTCTTCTCTTTCTATTCGGTGTAGGCAGGTTACAGGCGACCGGAAACGCTAGAGCTCCGTTTACATAGGCTAGGGCTTTATTGCGACCCCTACATTCCAGATCTAATCTGGACGACTGGGATTTCAATCTAGGGTTGGGCGGTGGTGGGCTATTTGGCCGGTGGTGAGCGATGGTGTGCGGTTATTGCGGCGGAGAGCTAGGCCAGGGTGGTGGTAGTGGCGACGGAGGGCTAGGCTGGGGTGAGGCAGGGGGACGGCAGGGGACTGGGGTGAGGTAGGGCAGGGGGCTAGGCAGTGGGTCAGGCAAGGCAGGGGGCTAGGCAGTGGGTCAGGCAGGGGCTGGAGTGAGGCAGGGCAGGGGTTAGGCAGGGGTGAAGCGGGGTTAGGTGTGGTGGTTGCTGGCAGTGGTTGCCGGAGGTGGTGGCCGGCGGCGGCGGTGGACGGTAGATTAAATTGGATAACTAAAATTGGGTAACTGTCAATGGCTATTGGCGGGTCAAAATTGGGTAATTATCGATGACGATTGGCGGGTCGGGTAACTCTAAGTGACTAGTCGAGTAACTATAACTGGTAAATCGGGTAACTGTAATGTAACGGGTCGGGTAACTGTCACTGGACGAGTAGACGTTGGTCACTACACGGGCGGGTGTTTGTCACTGAAAGGGTGGACGTTGGTCACTGGACGGGAGGACGTTGGTCACTGGACGAGATTAAGTCACTGTAACGATTTTTGGTCACTGGTGAATTTTGAATTTTTTGTCACTAATGATTTTTTGTCACTGACGAATTTTGGTCACTGGTGAATTTTGGATTTTTGGTCACTAATGATTTTTGGTCACTGGACGTTGGTAACTGGACGGACGAACGTTGGTCACTGGTCGAGGTTGATTACTTGACGACATTTTTGGTCACTATTAATTTTGGTCACTGACAGATTTTGAATTTTTGGTCACTAATAATTTTTTGTCACTGGAGGATTTTGGTCACTGACAGATTTTTGGATTTTTTGTCACAAATGATTTTTGGTCACTGGGTGGATTGGTCATGGTCACTAGTCAGATTGGTCACTAGACGGGTTGACGTTGGTAACTAGGTAAAAATTTTGGTCACTAATGATTTTGGTCACTGACGGATTTTTGGATTTTTGGTCACAAATGATTTTTGGTCACTAGATGGATTGGTCATGGTCACTAGTCAGATTGGTCACTGGACGGGTTGACGTTGGTAACTAGGTAGAATTTTTTGTCACTAATGATTTTGGTCACTGACGGATTTTTGGTTTTTTGGTCACAAATGATTTTTGGTCAGTGATGAATTTTGGTCACGATAATGGTTTTGGTCACTGTGGCGTTATTGTAGACTAATGGGTGAGATTCTATTAAAATAAGGGTATAATAGTCTCTTAACCCATTGTTAGTCTCATTTTTGGAAAATTGAAATAAAGGTCTCTTTTTTGTTCATAGTTCTTTTTTTAGTATTATTTTAGACATAACCCCTAGTTATAACTTACTTCACACGGAGTATAACTTATAAGAGATAGAGGGAGTATATTTTAAATCTATTTTTTTTTTCCGGATAACATCAAATTCAAGTAATCCAGGCCTCTCAATTAAAAATATACCAATTTTAGCAGATTCAATCACTTCAAACAAAATTTCACCAATTTGAGTAAATACAATTGATTAAGAGTTGCAGTATTACGAGACGTTGAGACCACACGAAGTGAGTTTCTATAGTGATTTCTTCAACTTCAAAAAAATGATTTTTTAAAGTGATTTTAGCGAGAGTTCTTACTACTCCCTCTGTCCCTTAAAACTTGGTCAAGTTTGACCAGCTCATAGATTAATAAGTAAAAATTGTGTGGTTGAAGTTTGTGAAAAAGAGAGCGAATTAACTGCACTTAGAAATTCGTTACTTAAAAAAGAAGTAGCAAAATTAAGGAGACAATTACAAATGAAAAGTTAACAAAGTGTTAACAGACGGAGGGAGTAGTTAA